CCACTATACACATCTGTCCACGTTCGTTCTGTGCGCAGTGCCTATAACTTTGGCTCGAAATCGAGTGTGGAAGACAAACCTAAAAGGTCCATTGGGTTGATGACACCCTACCCTTCCACTCTGATACTTTTTCGATAACGTAATGGGACTGTTTTTTTAATGACAGAATAGAGGAAAATCCATTTTCCCCGAATGCAGTGGAATGATTCCTGCAGTCAAAGGATGCGATCCAGTACCCTTTATTGCGTATTTCTAAACACGATCATAACTAACTCCTAAATTTTCCAAAATTTCAATGTCAAAATTTGCAACAAGTGGTTTGTAATTGGTTGGAAAAATGCGAGGAAAATGTGAAGATGCTGAAGGTATGAAATAAAATCATATTTTTACACAAAATATAATGATTTTGAGAAACGATGGTATAACAATGAAAATTTAACAAATGAACAATCGATATCCTAATAACAAATGCAATGTGGAACGGAATTCTGTAACAATGACGGCAGGTGGTGCTATGAAAAACCAACAATCCGACGGATTTCGTCCATATTCTGTTCGGCTATCGATCGCGCCTTTTTTCCATTTTCGAACAGAATTTCATCCACCTGGAATTCAAAGTTCAGTACCACTGCTCAGTTATAATCCCTTATCGAAGATTATAATGACCTGTTGGCCCTTTTCCAATGACAGAAACTTCTCTCTTATAGGTAGGAAACGCTCGGCGACAGCTCGCGACAAGTGCTTTTTCAGCTCAAACTGGTCCCAACCGCTCTCTGTCACAGCTGATATACTTGCGCCAGTGACAGCTCGGTAGAGATCAATCTGTAAGGCTCAAAAATTGAACATATCAATGGACTGGGTTCTGTAGTGCCATACCAAATTGCTGATAGCTGGTCGGGTGTCAGGACTGTATGAAAGCCGGGACTCGGTGTCGCTGACCGCCTTCCGACATTTCTCCTCAATCTCCTCGGCGGAATCACTGATCTAAACCATGAAAGAGTTTATAAGAGT